AGGCTTTATGAATGTTGACTGCATCTCAGCCCTTGATTTAATAGATCAAATGGTGTAAATTCATTCTTATTTCTTTCACTAGAAACCATTCTCATATGATCCTTTACCTATATATAAATTATATATATGTTATTTCTAATAATTAAAGCTATTATCTTTCTATAAACATTATAAATTGATCATATTTATATATGTGATGCTCATACTTATAAAAATATTGATCATATTTATATATGTGATGCTCATACTTATAAAAATAGAAGAAGTAACAAAAAGTTATGTCCAAATTATATGAATATACCCCATCTTCATTCTTCAGTATATATAAAAATTTAAAAAAATTTAGTTACTAAATTATTATTTTTGGAACATGTATTTTTTGTATATTTATTTGTATCTATAGTTATTAGGGTGCGGGTAATCGGGCGGGCAAAAAGCCGAGTCGGATAAAAAAACCCACCGGGTAAACAGGCCGGGTAATCGGGTTGGTAATGGGTTTTTTTGTTAAATCCGTACCCGATCCGGACTGCAAACATAGAAAAAACCCAAACACGACCCGAAACCCGCCATTACCGGGTATATCCGACCCAATTTTTCGGATTACCGAGCCCGGTGGGTTTTTCTGACAACCCTAAGTGGAATCGCCCTTCTGTCTCTTCTATTTTTTCTTCTTTTTCTTTCCCTTCTTTTTCTTTTCCTCTTTTCAGTTCTTCTCTCTTCTTTCCCCTCTTAAAACTTTTCTTCTCCCTTCATACAAAATCTCTCCGATTGTCCCTTTATTTTCCTTTCAGATTTTCTTCTCTTGTTTCTCAAATTTTCCCTTTTCTTTGAGTTTACAGGCCTCAAATCGAAGGTTTTCGGTGGTTGGAGATGGCTACCCTGGGGCGGTTTCCCTTTCCTTTCCCGTAACAAATATTTTGTAAGATGGTTTAGATCCCCATTTCCTTTCGTTGATGAAGAAGAACTCAATTTTTAGGAAAATAAAATAAAAATGTGAAGTTATTAATATATAAGACGTTAACATTATTTTTGGTTTAATGAACCGAACAATATTAAGGGCTTTACTAGATCCTTGTTAATGTATTTCATCGATGGTTGAGAATTAATCACGTCGAAAAAGTCGCCCATTTTTTCTCTCTGATTTTTATTTATTTATTTTATCTACTTCCATAATTTTTACCTTGTAACCACTGGCGTGTGTACCAGAGCGGCCTACATCAATCATAAAAGCCACTCGTTTTCTCAAATGTGAGAAGTCGAAACAGATAGCCCAGGATTCCAACCGTCAAGTCGAGAAGTATCAGGTTGAATTGCTTGGTTGTACTGGATTTGGTTGATTTAAGATAGTGAATCGATTACATTTGGGAATTAAGGTTCCATACTAATAGCTATGCTCTAGATTTGGGTTATTTTATATATTTCTATAAAATTGACATACAACATTCGAGGAAAGCGGTAAACTTTGCAAAAATATCACTTTTTTTTTTTGTTTTATTGTATTTGTGTTTGCAAAGATTGCATCTTTTGGTTGGGTCTACTTTTTTGGAATTCTTACAAAAATAAAGAAAAAAATTTCCCATTTTTCAAGTTTCTAATGCAAAATAAATGAATGGAATAAGCAAAATAGATAGATAATTGAAGGTTTTGTTTTTTTTTTTTTATTCGGATGTACAGTTTGCTGAGTTCCCATGCAACTACATTCTTTCTTGCCAATCAACGGTTTTAGTAATTAAGTAATACAATTTCAATTGTTGATTGAGTCCATTGCAAATGGAGCTGGAAGAGTCAATGTTGACAATTCTTCTGGCATCGTGCAAATAATGGACTAGATCAAAATGGCTCAATTAAATTCTATTGCTTCTTCTATTAGTGAAGTTTCTAGAAAAAATATATCCAACGACGCAACGCACCTTGGGTCGCTATGGAAACAACCTCCTTGTATAATTACAAGGGTAAGGTCTGCGTACAACTGACCCCCCAGACCCCAACCTGTTTGGGAATATACTGGGTATGTTGATTGTTGATTGTTGTTGATAAATTTGTTAATTGATCCGATTTTACTATAGTATTACTGCGGCTCTATTAACATATGAGTAGTATTATGTGTTTTCCGGTCAGTTTATTTTGGCATATGAGTGTTTTATGTCGGAATTGATTGCTGAAGTTGGCCAAAATTGACAAAGCTGGCTGCCCGGACCTTGTATCTTTTGAACCTTACAATTATAGTTGTTGAGACGCCAATTCCGTGCTTGAAAATCGACCCCGACTTAGAACTTCTCATATTCTGAAACTTATTTTTGTCACCAGTGTCAGCTGATGCCTTACCTAGAGAAAGGTGAAGGTGGGGAAAAATTGGAAAAAATAAAACAAGTATATAATTTTTGGTAAATGATCAAAATATCTGCAAAAGAAAGTGGACATACTAGCTTGTTGGACACTTGATGGCGAAGGAAAATTGTTAGTGACTCCACTATTTAATATTTCTTACATGTAGTAACATGATATTCTATCAGAGAGGAGACACCAACACTCTCGTGCCATACATCATACTCGTTTTTCTTTTCAACACGTCGGCGCACCTCACCGTCTAGGCGGCCAAAATCCACCTTTGGTGGTTTCCATCGCGATTGACCAGCTCGAACTCTGTTGTCACGTCGTGGGGCGCCATCCGCTACTTTCCTTTCATTCTGCTCGTGAACTACTAATGCAGATTGAGCGACGCCTGCATAAATTGGGGTTCATTCTATTTGGAAAACCTAATCCGCCGAAAACCAGGCAATTCTTCTTAAAAATTATCGTTATGATACTTTGTTCTTCAATTGTTTACTTCTTGCATCCGCCTGTTTTCTGAATATGGCTGTATTCACTGTTGAGCTGTAGCATTCCGTTGAAGTGTGTTTAAGTTTCCCGCAAGAAATAGTACAAACGCTGTTATTTTTTCGATTCTCGGTCGAAAATTCCTGTTTTTCTTTGGTCGAAGCTGTGAAAATGTTTGTTCAGTTTTCTTGGTTGAACCAATTAACAGATTATGCAATTCAACATACAATATTTTGGCCACTTTGGTGCTGTGTAAAACAGTGATAGCCATATATAGTGTGGGCTTCTGGAAAATCCCTTCAAAATATAGGAAGGCTTTCCAGTTTCTCCAATCTCATTCTATGTGGTGTGTTAGTATTTTTTTCCTTTCACTTTCAGAGTACTGAAATTTATTATTCAATCTCTCTATTTTAATTTCTTAAATTGTTTACAATTTGGAATTTAGGTCACTGTTTCGAGCAGCATTTGCTACCCTTTCCACCACTGACACCAATGCAACGCCCACAACATCAAAGAAATGCTACTAAAAGTGTAAATAGAGCTGTTTCATTTGAATCCCCACTGAAGTTGCTGCCTCTGCATCTCACATGTGGACTAGGCCTAGCTTTAGGTTTCTGGGTGGCCTTCATTATTTACTCCTTGACGATAATCCAAAATTCAGCAGAAACTCTTCTTATATTATGGGTATGTATAACTCAACAGATTTCATTCACCACGTCTAGTGTAACACATGCATTGGCATGTATTGATTTTTATTTTGGCCTTTCAGGCAGTGGAGGCTTTAGTCGTGATTCCGCTCTATAGTCTGTTTCGCCATGACACGGATCAATGCTCTGTAATTTTAGTCTTTTAGTTATTTGCGTTGCATTGTATTTTACTTTAGAATTCCATTGCAATGATTGTCCATTAACCATTATATTTATTTATTATTTCTATTTCATTTGAAAAGTTATTGTGCATGCTTTCTTCTCTTTTCAGTTTGTCAAAGCCATAGTCAGAGGGTTGCTGGGTCTCCCTGCTGGTTAGTGTCATGAAAACTACATTTTTTTTGCCCCTTTCTGTTTCTGTTTACTATAGGTCAATTAAATACTTTCTAACGTTATTTTAAATTTCCATTGGATGACATGAACAAAGAATAATATTAAAGTAACTTTTCAACCAGGCCGCCATTTTGTGCCATTGATAACACTGTTTGCTACTTGTGGGATGGAATTTGTACGTAAGCGTGACTCTGAATGACATGTGTTTTCAGAATCTCATTTTATGTTTGGTAAAACTGATAAGCTAGCTTATAGCTTATAAGTGATTTTCGAGCTTATGACTTATTGTTGAACGACTAACTTATATAATAAAAGCACTTGGTAAAATTAGCTGATAAACTATCTTAAATAAAACTCAAGGAAGGTTATGAGATTTTAAAAAAAGCTCGTCCTATCAAACGATGCTTATTTGAATACAAGAATCTTATAAGCTAACCAAATAAGCTATAAGCTAACTTATTTCGCTACCAAACATAGCCTAAAATGTTTGGTTGAACTGGGTTGATGATCAATTAGTTTGCTTCAAATGGCCAATTTGTGCAGTTATTGTTCACTTCGCTTAATAAATCAGTTAACGTTAACTAGTTGTTCAAAAGGGATAATAACTGTACGAAAAAAAAAAAAAA